TGAATTTTATTTGTTTTTTCTACAAATTTATATCACTTGAAATTTTAGGCGTGTTTTCATAAAAAATAAGTGAATCTTCGAAAAATATCAAAAAAATATTTTACATAAAATAAATTGATCAAAATACCCCTGAAAAGATTCAAGGGGTATATTAGTCATTTTGTTTTCACGAATAATTTTTTTGATATTTTTATTAGGTGCGCATTGATGAGAAGAACGCACATCTAAAATTTTAAGTGATTTGGAAGAGTAGAATATATTTTCATTTTTATTTATAAAGTTTAAAACTGCGAAAATAATGTAGCTTGAGAGATCTATAAAAACTTGAAATTTGACAGTAAAAAAATGTGTTACAAAATACACTATTTCTAAAACTTGAAATCCATTTTTTTATCATGTCCATGCATCTTGATGTCCATACATCTTGACATCGAGATGATGAATTTGAGGATATTTGGGCATCAGAACAATATCTTCTAGTGAAATTTTTGAGGTAAGCTCGAATTTGATTGTTAGGCTATGGTGTATACCCTTAATGTCTTCAACTTTTTTGGATACTTAGAACACTTATATACCATTGAATTGTAATATAAAAATTTTCAAGTAAGGGCTTTTTGGTCATTTAGATGGATAGAATAGGTATTTTTATAAACAAAAATAGTGATATTCAATTAGTAGTTAAAATACAATTAATGCTTCACATGGGTGGCGTCACACAACATATCGGTGATGTGATTATCCACTATTGTTAATAAATGCTTTTGTTTCTATTAAAAATTTATATGATTTTAAAGGTATATAGTACAAATGGTGTAGCCTAAAAAAACAATAATAAATAAATTATATATATAACGAGAGAGATATAGAGAGAGAGAGGTGTAATCTCCAGTCACTTTTAATGAAGGGGAGAAATCCCTTGGAAGAAGACTTTAGTTCTCAAAGGATCGACGTTTAAGTTAGACCAGTTAGCCGACGTTGACATTCCTCGAAAGAAAGCCTTTGTCCGGTTCATGTCCTTGTATACCGTGTTATCAACCCTAATGTAATCCCACCTTCACGTTAAATAAATGAATTAATACTAAGAATAAAAAGTCATGTTTTAGTTGCATAACTCTGTCGTAAAGCAACATTTATCAAGGTGGCGAAGCCACAATGCGATATCGAAGGTTCCATTTCTACTAACTAGTATGTCAAAAAACAATAACATAAATAATCAGAAAAAGCATTCAACACACTTATTTACCTTTGTTACAAGGAGTTCATAGTGATCATTCGTTGCTAGATGTTTAATTGGGAGGTTGGGGTTGTGCCACTGACCATGTTCAAAGTCTAAAAGAAAAATTTATCATAGTCTAAAAGAAAAATTTATCATGTTTTATCACCACCCAAGCTGTCAAATTCACATATAATAACTAGGTGTGATTATGACTTTCTTGTATTATAGCTAAATGATCATATAACATACATTTTTTGTTAGCAAGATTGGACCAGACTAGCCAGTTCCACTGGCTAGACAACTAACTCATGCCCTAGCCAGTTTGGTCCAATGTATAAATCAAGTTTAACCAAACTGGCTAGACAGTTAACTCATGCCCTAGCTAGTTTGGTCCAATGTATAAATCAAGTTTAACCAAAACTAATCAAAACTAAGGTTTGATTAGATTTGGCCCAACCGACTAGCTTGTTTTGATAAATTAGACTAATAAAAAAAATTTTGCAACTCATTTAGTGCTATATTTTATATTTTCAAACTATCATTTCTATTTTCTTTATTTTTGGAGTCCATTATAATTGGTTCGACCGGCATCCGACTGGTAATGACTAGACCATACTCCTCAGAGATTTGACGACCGGTCTAATCCTCGTAACAAAGATACAGTCCCAACTATTTTATCCTTTACCCCAAGCAAAACAAAAGAGAATTTCAGTTGTCTCTCGCTCACCCTTTTATATACCCATTGTGGGTCCACCAATGTCATAAATTGAATGACAAAACATCCGCCCCAAACCATAGTTTCCAATCATTGATCGAACCAAGTCTTAGAGCTTTGCCCGTTGGCTCTTGTATTATGTCCACGAGATAAGGAGATCGATAATATGAAACATTCACTCTATAGTCCTGTCACAAGAGGCGATTGTGAGAGAGATATTAAGTGAACAAAACCAAAAGAGATGGATTTCTTAAGCTATAGGATTGAAACAACCAATGTCATAGTCCAAGAGCTCTACTCATGATAAAAATGATGATTATTTGAAAAGAACATCGAATTCGATCCCTATAATCATGACTTTGATAGGATGATGATAATGACGATGACAATAAAAATCAATTTCAATTTATCATTTAAATTAAGGAAAAGTCATGTAAACCCCCAACTACAATTCTCCAATAAAGGCTCCTAATGGAAAAATTATACTTACTATATGTGCCTTATTACTACTTTTCTTATTACTGCTTTTCTTAGGGCCACACCCCTAGTCAACCTTTGACATCATTTAAGACCACACTGCCCCTCCTCCATCAACTATGTAAACAATAATGGTTTCTATAAAAAACTCACACGATTATTTAAAAATCTATTTTTATATCTAATTATAAAAATTTAAACCCCAAAAATGATTAAAATTAAGTAAATCTATAAACATATGAAAATCTTGAAAATAGACGGTCTAGATAATGTGATAATGTGTTATAAGATGAATTATTTCTGGGACTCAAAATCTTTTCTTTTTTCTTTTGCTTCCATGCTTCTCGATTTCAAGATGATCAATTAGAGGGTTTTTAACATTAAAACACTCTTTTCCAATGGATCTTTGAGGTGTCAAAAAGAAATAACTTATCTTTCTAAATCAAACAAACCAACGGACTCGTAAAATAAAAAAGACTTATCAAACTAACCTAAAGAATCATAGATTAATCCTATTGCTAACAAATTAACCTTAATAAAATAAGGTTAAAAAAAATGCACCTAAAAAAAGATAATTAAATCCCCTCAAATTGATAAAAATAAAAATACTGAATCCATTCGATCTTGATTTGCAACATTAATGAAAAGGATTTGCATCATTAATGAAAAGGGGGCGCGGGGAGCTGGTGGGCATGAAAAGGGCATTAAGTATAAGAAAATTGGAATATAGTTGTAGTCCACATCTTGCCTCAGCATGACATCCCACTCTCTATTTTTGCCATTAATGTATCAAAATAAAAATAAAGTTCGCATTACTACAAAGGAGTGTTGTATAACCTTTTAAATCCATTGGAACAATGATGGAGAAGGTGGCACATAGAATGGAATCATGCGATACTTTTTGAGTTCCATTCTCTTCAAATGTGATCAACTGTAACATGATATTTGGAATGGCCCAAGACATATCGGTATGGATATGGATACATATCTCTTGATAAGATTAGGTGGTGTCTATCCATAACCGTCGGTATTTATCTTTAACGGTATAGATATGATATGCATATGTATACATACGCATATCTTGATAATGTATAGATATACATCTGTATAGATACATATCTCTTGATAAGATATGAATAAGAGTGGATAGAGAAAGATGACGAGATTGGGGGCCTATTGGCTTCTGCCATGGCTGTTTCTGCCACTGCTCTCACAATGGTGAAAGCAAGATCTGGGTACCTGTATCCAAGCAAGATCTGGGTATCCACATCCATTGTTCATAGCGATCTGCCTCTACATCCACCTCTGAAAACAACTTATTTGCAATATCTGCAAAATAGTCATTGAGTCGTGGTTCGACTCTTTAATAGGTCTCTCTACCACCTCTCTGCCTATTTTTGTCTATGGATCTTGATTTTTGGTCCAGATCCGTCTGAAACCTCGCCATCCACCTTGATCTAATCTTTTCTGATGATCGAGTTTTCCGTTACTCAATCTTGTCTGATGATCAAGTTTTCCTTTACTCAATCCCATCTGATGATCGAGTTTTTCGTTACTCTATCTCGTATGCTGATTGAGTTTTTCGTTACTCGATCCCGTATGTTCCAAAGGCCCGTTGGTAAGTTGTTACTTGAGTTCTCTAAAAACTGCTAGTTTTTTGTTACTCGATCCTATTTGATGATCATGTTTCCTGTTATTCGATCTTGTTTGTTGATCGAGTTTTTCGTTAGTCGATCTTGGATTTTTCGAAGGCCTGTTTGTCTGATGTTGATCGAGTTTTCCGTTACTCGATCCCGGATGTTCTTGATGCCCTCTATTCATGAGGTCCGTCGTGCTTGTTGTTCAAGCAATCTAAGCAGTGGTCTGAGTATGGAGACCACTGCTTCTATCTGTCACGCCACAACAATCTAAGCATTGATCAAGCAATCTGAGCATGGTGATCACTGCTTCTATCGGTCAGCCACAACAATCTGAGCATTGATCAAGCAATCTGAGCAGTGGTCTGAGCATGGAGACCACTGCTTCTATCCTTCACACCACAATAATTTGAGCATTGAGACCACTGCTTCTATAGGTCACGCCATGAACAAGAAGACCTAAATATTTATGCAACTTATTGTTCAAACTCCTGATCACAAAGCATCTTGAGTTTGAGGGAGGGTGTTCATGTATGGATATGTATCATACTAACACATATCATAATGGATATCATAATGGATATGCATATGTATGGATACATATCTTTTGATAAGATTAGGTAGTGTCTGTCCATAACCGTTAGTATTTATCTTTAACTAGGTGGTGCCTATCAATAACCGTTGGTATTTATCTTTAACGGTTATTGGAACGTATGGATATGGATATGTATCAGATATGCATCTAGATATATATCTATTGATAATGTATGGATATGGATATGTATCATACTGATACTAGTATGGATATGTATCATATTGATACTAGTATGGATATGGATATGTATAGATACATATCTCTTATATGTATATAGATACTAGTATGGATATGGATATTTATAGATACATATCTCTTGATAAGATTAGGTGGTGTCTATCTATAACCATTGGTATTTATTTTTAACTGGCCGTATACGGAGTCTTGTATATTTTTAATTAAAAAAATAAAGATTATTTTCTTTGTCATATTCTGGAATAATCTTCTATGGGGCCTAAAGCCCAAATATATAAAAATACATACTTGAGTTTCAATATGAGCTTTCCAAAAAGAAGAATATGAGCTATCCAAAAAGAAAAAAAAATATAGCATAATATATTTCCAACAAAAGAAGCGAGATGCGCATAAAAGAAGGGTTGCAAGTTGAGTTATCCTAACATGTCTCTATAAATTTGAAAAAGCATAGGGAAAACGCACCGTGAACAGACAAGAATATAATGAACCCTTTGCCACCTTGCTGGTTTTGGCATTCGGCATTTCAGTCTGAATCATGCATAGCAGTGACTGCCATTGGTTCGCGCCTAGCGAGTCTCCGACGAACATAATTGCTTTTCCTTTCATCTTCGATAGGAAGTCAAGAGCATTGAATCTACAATAATAATACACAGCCGAAATAAAAATAATAATACCAATCTTAATAAAACCATGAGAGAAATGTAACATAATCCAGCAATTTATCAAAAAGTATCCAAGAGATGAAATAATTGAGTAGATGTATTTCTACATGATGAAGTACAAAACTTAAAAATGTCAAGATAGTACCTCGGTAAATCACAAGCACTGGGTTGGCATCTATACTCGAGATAGAGCTTATCAGGCCGACCATTCTTCACACAGTCGAATTCCGGATCGATGAAGGCTCATTTAGAAGAGTCATATAGAGGATAGGACCCATCATAGACCCATGTGCCTTCATATAAATTGCAGCCTGAGACTGACAATTTGCCCGGAAATAATTTACCACCATCGTATTCCCTACTCCCGGCAGTTGCTTCGTTTAGGACCAGGCTCCATAGTGAGAGAGCAAGGGCAGAAGCGAGGAGCAAATCCCAACCCATATGAACAGTTGGTTCACCTCACTATTTCTCTGATTTTTTCTTGGTTTTATATACAACCATAGATTGCCTCTCTCAAATTGAAAAACTTGCTTTTATAAGGAAGAAATGGGTGCATTAGGAGATTTATGGGAAGGATGATGGATTGTGCAGAATAAAGGCAAGAGGGACTGAGCCCCGTTTTAGTTTCTTGATATGATTAATGTCATTTAAGTGAGGCGATTTCTCCAATAAAGATTGAATTTGATTGTATACATTATTAGGAATCTGACATCCTTTCCCAAATGAAGATTAGATTTCCTTGTATGTAATATCCTCAATGTACAGACACTTGCCTCAAGCCAAGTGCTCACCACGGGTGAACCCATAGGGCGAGGCTGAGTTACTTGACTGAATCTTAGTGAACAAGGGCTTATGAGGGCACACATGGGGTGGGGGATGGATCACCATTATAGCGTGACAGCTTCTCTCCCAAGTCCAAATACATACAATTGTACATTTTCATCAGAAAGCACGCCACACTCGTTAATTTTTGTTACACTTTAATTGCCTTTACTTTTGTACAATGTTTTTAGCACACATGTAGTTTAGTTTAGAGACCCTGCAAACCTTTTTCTTCAACCAATTCAATGCTTTTAAGCAAGAGAAAATACAACCAGCAAATTAACTGAAAGAGAAATAAAAATCGTGAAGGAAATCACAATAAAAAAGAGAATACGTGGAAATAAAAATCATGAAGAAAATTACAAAAAGAAAGAGAAAACGTGCGTATGCAACTATTCCGACATAGGCCCATAACTATTCTAACACGAGCCCCTAAGCACAAGAGAAAAAAACACATCCTCTCTCTCAAAAAAACACTTTCTTTATTAATCAAAATTCAATCTCTTTCACATGTGCGCATCCTCCTTTTATAAATTTAAATCACCATCTCACATACTCTCAAGACCTAGAGATAACCCCTAATCTATCTCCCAACTAGAAACCAAAAAAGATAACTAAATAAATTCCTATCAAGTCATAAGCTTTCCTAAAATCGTTAGTAACAAAAAGAGGATAAATTTTTCTGATTGAAAACCTTCCTACAAAAAAATACTAAAGGATAAACTTCCTAGAGAGAAACGTGACCTACTGGCACAACTCTAACTAAAAACCTACTCACCCTTGCTATATTGAGGAAAACGAACTCTTTCAAAATTTAAACCAAAAAAGTATTCCTCAAAAAAAAAAAAAAAAAAGATTTTATCAAACTAATTAAAAAAAATCTTATTTTTAATAATTAATCTTAATAAATAAAATAAAATATCTAACCAATCTCAAAATAATAAAAATAATATTAAAATTTCTAGCCACACCATTTTTTATGCCAAATGGACCTTTGGCCTTCTCATGATGAGGAAATTTGATCATATTCGAACTGGACGTCTCTTCATTTTGTGAAATTTGATCATATTTGCCCCTGATGTCTCTTCATTTTGTGAAGAATGCTCTCTGACCCTTCACCAGATTTTGTGGAAGACTTCAATTATTTTTTCAAAAATGAAACGTATAAAAAAATTATATATTTAGGCACAGCTCTCCCTTTAATGGGAAAGTTTTTGCAAAAATTATGCGGAGACCACCCCACGTTTTCTCTGAGTCAGGCCTGTTCGATATGAGGAACACCAAGTAGCCTAGTTGTTCAGTGTTCTTAATATCAGACAAAACTTCCTAAACTATCTGAAACTAGAAATACTTGACTCTCTATATGTGAGTTTTATTAATTTAAATTCTTGTTACTTCTTTAATATAATAGAATGTAACTAGGATAATAAAATTCAGTATAACAGTATTGTTTCTATTCTAAAATATTTAAAAATTGAAATATTTAATTATTGAAAGAGTTCCTCTAATAATTTCTAATCTATCATTTTAGATATTTAATTTAAATTTTTAATTAAATTCTTATTTTTTATTTAATGTTTTAAATTTTAGAATTGGAATATAAAATTACATATATAAAATGATAGAATGGTAGAATAGATATCTAAAATAGAATTAAAATTAGATACAAAAAAGTAATAGATAAAAGAAAATCTACTGAAAAATAAAATACATTCAAATACAAATAAATATAAATAAATTTTGACAAAAATAAATTTAGAAATAATAACAGTAATCAAATTATATTCATTCTATTATACTTATTAAATGACAAGAATTTAAATAATACTAATGATAAGTCTAATTTTACGACTTAAGAAATTGAGCTGTCCAACGTTACAAACACCAAACAGCAGGGTTGGGTTGTTCGATGTTATTAATATTAGACAGTCCTAACTAAGAGTAATGGCAAAATGCTTATGGGATTTCCTATAATGTCCAGTGGTTGAAATGTTGGGGACCAGTGAGCGTATATTTGAAGGAAAAAAACATGAAAAGGTTGCGGGTTGGGGCTAGTCTCTGGATAATTTTCAAGAAAATTTTCCCATACTGTAATAAAGGGGTTAAAAAGGTGTATTTTTGTAATTTTTCCTCAAAAATAAAATGTATTTTTATGATAATTAAAATATCATAAGTTTATTTTTTTAAGTGATTGTACCATTAGAAACAGTGTACCAAATCTATAATACATTTTCTATGACTTCTTAATTTCAACGAATACATTCAATTTATCTTGCTTTGATTTCTAACAAGGAGTAATTTTCCTTGCTTTGATTTCTAGCATGAAGCCTATGACTTTGACCATTTCAACCAGAGCAAAGATAATATTTGAGCCATCCGATATATTGGATTTTCTCCATTTTAGGAGCTCCAAATACATATTTCCTGGAGTGGATAGTAGTGGGAAAGATGAGATCAATTGACAATATTGTTTGGTCAGGAGAGCAGATTTAGAAGGGAAGATCAACGATATCATTTGCTAATGACTAAAGAGAGGTATATCTCTCGTAACTCAAAATTATAATACTCATTGAGATAGTAGATTTTTAGTTGCCAAGGCCGTGGATGTAGCTCTATAAAGAACCACATAAATCGTGTGTTGTGGTGGTGTTTATTTTATTTATTTCTCGCATTTGATTTATAATTGTATTAATCTACTTCGTATTTAGCCAATCATATACATGATCTTGGAGGGATATCAGTATTTGGGACTCCCTATTCTATAAGCTAGGGGTCAAGGAGAACCCAACAATTGGTATCAAAGCACAAGTTGTGTACAGGGCTCAGGTTTATATGAAGAAAAAGATGAATGGGGAACCTAAATTTGTACAAGGTTTAAGGTGGGGAAATATGGAAGCGAAGTGCTTATGAAAATTCTACAATGGAGGCAAGTGAGAAGAAATTAAAAAATCTTTTCAATGAAGGTTGCCAAAACAATTATAATAATTTTACTATCAAGATGAAGATTGTTGGGATTGGTGAGTGTCAAATCACTATATTCATATTTTGTTTTAAAGATTAAAAGTATTATGGTAAAAAAAAAATAGCCTTTCATGCTTCTTGGGAGGCAAGAAAATAATATCTATATAAGAGAGTAAAAAAAAACGTAACACACATCCTTTTGAGGGTCGCCTTTTGGGGTTCATGAGAAAATATCTCCAAGAAGGAGATGGACCTCCCTGAGAGAAAGAGAGTTGGCCTCTTAGAGATTCCCATGGGATCTTGGGTTGGTAAAGTTTTCATTTCTAGAGAGAAAAAATCTCTTGGTTACTCTCAATGTATTGTTTCTGGTAGCGGCTAGTGGTGGGAAAGATTAGATTGATCGACGGTGTATTTCGGTCAGGAAGGTGGGTTTAGAAGGGAAGATCAGCAATGTCATTTGCCAATATCTGAAGAGAGGTGTATCTTTTGTAAACCAAAATTATAATATTCATTGAGATAATAGATTTCTATTTGCCGAGGCCATGGATGAAGCCTTACGGGGTGAACCACGTAAATTATGTATTGTGGTGCTGTATTTTTTTATGTTTTATTTATTTCTCATACTTGATTTACAATTGTATTCATCTATTTTTTATTTAGCCAATCATGTACACGATCTTGGATAGAATCCCGGTTCTGTAAGCGAGGGGTCAATAATATGGTTTACCATTTTGCTTGTCATTCTACGGCATACTATTTCACGTTCCAACTGCTGATAGATATGTTCAAAATATATAGTTTAAATTTAAATAAAACCTTTTGTTTCTTGATTACTTGGCTTTGGAATATTGAGTTGGTGGCTAAGGCATTAGGGCCGCCAAGCAATGTCACAAATTCCAATCTCACAACTAATCCACGCGAAGGAAAATTGAGTTTTCCTTGCTCCTCCTTTCTTCTTCTCACACTTTTTTGTCTCCCACTTTTTTCCTTTTTCAATTTGAACATGCGTGTGGCCAATATGTTCCATTTGAAATCAATTTACTAACTAGGGCTTACACAATGCTTCCTTACAAGTATATCGTCCACTTGCTCAGTGAAAATATTATTCATTCTGGATATGAAACTTTCGGATCCACATATCGATCAACAGATGATTATTTGAGAAACAAAATTTTTTATTTGAGTTCATTGGCACTTAGATCTGGCTGCCAAAAAATTGGACGGTTCTATGTTCAATTTTATAATTTTGTTTTTTTCACACCCGTAAAATATAAGTTTGATTTGATTTTTTTTTTTTTTTTCTGGAAGTTGGTTACTTGGTTTAAGACAAATTCATCCCAAGATGTTGGGTCCTAAAAATACTCCCACACTGACTTTTATCAAAGGGAGGAAATGGACAGTATGCTCCTCAGGAGCAGGAAGCCATCTGAGTTATTATATCATCTGTTATTATATAGCATAGTAGAAGAAAATGCAACCCAAAAAATATCAGGGATGCTAAAAAATGGCTCTCAAATCCCAAACTGACTTAATTTTCTTTCTTCATTAGAAGAATTCACCCCCATCCTATTTATGTAGAGACCCCCATGGCCTTTGGATTCAAATTTTGTCTGCTGTTTAGATATCAGCCACAATATATTCAAAACAATTTGACAAAC